GTGTGTGTGTGGCCAGTTCAGCCCACCAGGGGGCGGGGCTGGCTGGCATGTGGTGCTGGAGATTGAACCACGGTCTCTGTGCTTTCGCTTGGCTTAGCCTGTTCTAAGTAGGTGCTTTAGACCACTGAGCCATCTCACCAGCCCTCTTCTAGTGTTTCTAAAGCATTTTTAACAACAAAAAGCTGGGCGTGGTGGCTGTCACCTGTAACCTCAACACTGGGGAAGCAGAGGCAAGAGGATTGCCTTGAGCTTAAGTCTTCACTGTGTAGAAAGGCTGTTATAAATAAATAAACAAACAAAACAGGACTCATCAATCAAAGATCACACCAGAACTTCCATGCTAAAGATGAATCTGAGGGCCAGGGAGATGGCTTGGTGGAATAAGCGCTTCCCTGGCAAGTGCAAGGGCCTGAGTTCAACCCCCAGTTCCGCCAAAAAAATAAATAAAAATAAAAAGATGAATCTGAAAATGGTGAAACAGTACTGGGAGTGTAGCTCAGTGTTGGAACGCTTGCCATGCACACATTACCCTGGATTCTGTCCCCAGCACTATTTATTTTATTTTATTTATGTATTTGGTTGTTACAGGGTCTCACTATGCAGCTCTGACTCATAGTGATCCTCCTGCTTTCAGCCTCCCCAGCACTGGGATTACAGGTGTGCACCACTATGCGGAGACTCTGTGGCCTGCTCAGCCTGCCCTGCGGGCAGAGCTGGCGTGACATGTGGTACCAGGGGTTGAACCAAGGTCCCTGCGCTTGCCTAAGTTTGCCTACGCAGGTGCTTTAGTCCGCTAAGTATCTCACCTGCTCCCCCGCACCATTAAAAAAGTGAAGAAAAGATGAAAAGTGATAAAACATGTTTTATCATTAAAAAGCATGAATTTAAAGATGCACAATTTAAGTTAATCAGAATACTCATCAAATTTATATTTTTCATACTAGAATTTTCAGACTGACCACAGAATAATAAACTTTTCAATCCTAGGTGGAAGTTTTGTTATTAATATAATAATTTATAATAATAAGTTATTACTAATTTATTTTCCTAATAAATTATGCTTGTCAGGACCAGCGAGAGCTCAGCAGACTAAGTGCCTACTTAGACAAGTGCAGGGACCTGGTTCCATCCCTGGCCTCGCATGCTGCACTGGCTCCACCCCTGGGTATGCTGGGCCTGCTGAGATGGGACATGGTAGCGCATGCCTGCAATCCCAGAGGTGGGGAAGCTGAAAACAGCAGGATCACTATGAGTCTGAGCGGCATAGTGAAACTATACCAAATACATAATAAACAAACAAACCTGTCTTGTCTTGAAAAAAGCATCAGCAGTTATCAGAGTGGAAAACTGGCCATGCTTAAAAGTTAAGCTTTCCCAGCCTGCCGTGCTGGGCGTGGTAGCGTGTGCCTGTGTTCCCAGCACTTGGGAGGCTGAAAACAGGAGGATCACTACGTGTCTGCTCTGTGTAGTGAGACCCTGTAGACCCTGTGTACTAAATACATAAAAACAAAAGAAAGTTAAGCTTAAAAAAAAATTAAGCTTTTGAAAAATAATCTTTTGGGGCTGGTGAGATGGCTCAGTGGTCTAAAGCACCTACTTAGAACGAGCTTAGCAAAGCACAGGGACCGCAGTTCAATCCCCCAGCACCACATGCCAGACAGCCCCGCCCCCTGGTGGGCTGAGCTGGACACACACACACACACACACACACACACACACACACACAAATAAAATTAAAAAAAAATAATAATCTTTCTTAAACTTTTGTTCTAATTTTCAAAAACTATGTAGGAGAAGATTAATTAAAGAATTTGGAACCAGGCATGGTGGTGCACCTGGGACGCTGAGGCAGGAGGGTGACTGCAAGTTCAAGACCAGCCTGGGCTACAAAGTAAACCTAAGGCCAGCCTGAATTGTGTAGCAAGACCCTGTCTCAAAAAGACAAAAAAAAAAAAAAAAAAAAAATTTGATTAGCTATCTAATATCTGAATAAAGGTAGAAGATTTAAATAAAAAATGTCAGTAGTGCTAAAAATAGAGGTACACAGACATCAGGTTTATATATGTAATAGTATATTTATGTGACCATAAGGACATATTACTCAAAGGTTGTACTACACGGTAGATGACTGTCAGCACTGTGCCATCTGATGCAAAAACAGATCTGCAATAAGATCCCTCAATAAAAATTGTATGCCACTTTCCTAAATACCACAGTTTCATAAGTCTTCATTGTAACACTAATTTTTCTGGTGACAATAAGAGATAGCATGCAACTCATATTTTGACTTAGCTAGAACATTGTACACTACTGTCAAATTCCATCGTTTAGTAAAGCTGTTCTGCATTTAACTTTAAATATCAAACAGAGTATATTGTGACATCGTATTAGTATAAGATCCTTCATCTTTAATTTCTTATAGGTGTGAAAAATGTAATTTTAACATTGTCTTCCTTTTAAAATCATGAATCTAAACATTTTTAAACTTATTTTTCATTACTTTTTTCAGTTAGCAGTATAAATTATTATCTGGCTCTGGGTGCTTTAATTTAGAATAATGATATTTCTTTAGAATAATGATATTATTATTAATAATAAGGACATTCTTGGGTTATCTTTAAAATAGTACACAAATATTCAGACTTTCACCATTAAATTCATTTTTCATGTAATGTTCATCTCTATGAAAATGTTGTGGTTTAGCAATCACTGTGCATACCTGAAGTAGCCACAGATTCATTTGCATGAGGTATGTGAAAGTAATGTCTTGGAAGGGGACCTGTTAAATCCAGGATTTATTGTATGTTTGCAGTGCTCATTTATTTAACCTTCTCCTGATCCTCACATTTCTAGATCCATTCAGAGTTATCTGCAGTTAAAATTATGCTTCTTTTTAAAGATCTAACTGTTGCCGGGCATGGTGGTGCACGCCTGTGATCCCAGCACTAGGGAGGCTGAGGCAGGAGAATAGCTGTGAACTCCAGGCCAGCCTGGGCTACATTGAGTTCCACAGTGAGACCCTGTCTCGAAAAAATAAATAACTAAAACAAAACAAAGGCAGCAACAACAAAAGAGCTGTCAGTTTTTTACAGAGGGAACATGTGTTGTCATTTATGCATTCCCATGCAATTGTATAAGTATATATGAAATTCAGTTTTTCAAATTACATGATTACTCCCATCCTCACCTGAAGGAAGTGTGCCATGTAGCCCGTGTAGCCCCAGTGTGCACTGAGCCCCAGTGAGATTTTCCGCGTGCTTTTGTTCCAGTCTGGCAGCGAGTGTCAGATCCAGGGGCAAGGCAGGCAGTAGACATTCCCTGCCCAGAGGCAGTGCTGTGATCTGGGCTAGAGCTGGCCAAGCTGGCCCGTGAGTGCTGGGTACAGTGAGAAACTAGGGCTTCCGGGCCCCAGAGATATTTGGAAGATGCGCAATAGAGAAAGTTTAGATATACAGAATAATAACCTCTTACAATGCAGTAATACAAATGGTGTCAACCAACACAAGCTTTTTATGGAATGTGATTATGGTAGTTTATAACCTAGGCTTTCAGTTTTATGAGGTTTCAAATGATTTCCTCGTTTCAATTAAACCCATCCTTTTCCTCCATTGTCTTTTAGTTCTTAAGACAGAAGAACAAGATAAGTCTATACTGTGTATGTGTGTTTATCTATTCCGTATGTGTATACAGCTGTGCTCAGACGGGCTGCACTCGCGGGTGCACATACACGATGCGTGCTGATGTGTGTGCTGGGAAGGGTGGCTCTGGCTGTTCAACTATGCTTGACTCGAGTATTTGATTCAGTACGGTTGCTATGATTGTGTTCGTCAATTTTTCATTAAAGTAATGTTTGTCTTTAAAATGGAAAATGTAAGGTGCTCTATTTTGTTTGGCCAGCTTATTGTGTACAGAGCTTAAAGTTAAGTTAACCTCATTCTTATGTCTCTTGCTTACTGTATTACTGTTAAGTATTCTATTTTTATAATGGTCTGCATTTGAATTAAACTTCTAAAAGTGTAAGAATCATAAAACATTTTTGCCACATTATATATGTAATATAAATTTGTAAACTGTTTTTAAATATGACCTTTAAAGTTGCTATTTGGCATTCCCTTTTTATAGCTGTCCCAAGATGAATGTAGAGGCACCTTGTACAAATACAGACCTGAAGAAGCAGATATTGATGTAAGTATTAGTATCATATTTATTGCCAGCTCTGTGGTAGTCTCTGCCTAAGCGCTGCAAATAAGCAAATAACTAAATCAGAGCTTCTTCCTATGCGTTCAAAATTGATTTAGCATAGAATAAATAGTTTTTCCTCTCACACGTAAATTATCACTTACTCCCTTGGGTTACCCACCCCATGGTGTGGATGTGTGTATTGTACAATGCTTACATGAAAGTTAAAGGTTTACTGATTAAAGCTACAGAGGTTTGGAGACAAAAATGAACAGGCCTTCGAGAGAAAGTACCAGCCTTAGAAATCAGTCAGGACTCCCATTTGAGTTCTTCTAACTCCTACCTGAAGCTTCTGATGAGCCAGACTTTTTTCTCCTCCTATCTTTATTCCACCAGTGCCCCTCCTCCTCACCCTGACACCTCCCAGTGAACTCCGAGCCTGCAGTCTAGTCGAACAGAGTCAGGGTTATCATTTCCAGAGGCAAAGCAAAGAGGGCGAAGGCTCAGTATCTAGCTTGTCAGTAGGCCATGAAGTTTAGTACTAGGTTTTGTTTTGGTTTTTTGGAGACATCAGAATTGGGTTTTAGGTGGGGCCAGAGAGATGGCTCAGTGGAATAAGTACTTCCCTGGCAAGCACAAAGGCCTGAGTTCAATCCCCGGTTCCGCAAAAAAAAAAAAAAGTCTCCAGAATTGGGTTTTAGGGCCGGCCACATAGCTCAGCAGATTAAAGCCCCTGCTTAGGCAGACGCAGCAGCCCAGGTTCAATTCCTGGTGTGCTGTGGTGGCCCTGCCCACAGGGAGCACTGAGATGTGATTGAGACCGGGTGTGGTGGCACATACCTGTAATCCCAGCATGTGGGAGGCTGAACACAGCATCACTAGGAGTCTGATCTACATAGTGAGACCCTGTACTAAAATACAAAAAGAAAAAGAATTGGACTTTAGCACTATCAAAATTACAGAACCTTCTCATGCACTCATTTTAAAAGTGGGGTGCTGCTAGCCAGATGCAGTGGCACGTGCCTGAGTGGAGCATTTGGGAGGCTGAGGCAGGAGCTCCATTTGAAGCCACCCTGGACTATATAATGAGATCCTGTGTCAAAACAACGGAAATACTAGGTAGTTAGATTAAAGCTAGAACTGAGATGTAGCTACCATGCATGAAGCCCTGGGTTCCATGCCCATTGCTGGGGAAAAGGAAGAAAAAAAAATAAAACTATTGCAAATCATTTTTTTTCCAAAAGCAGTATTTTTATTGTATTACTACGTTTGAAGATTATTTGTGTGTGCGGCTGGGGGTGGTGGCAGCTCCTCAGGACTGAGGCTGAAAGACTGAGAGTTTGAGGCCAGCCTGGAAAAACAGCCAACCCCCCTGTCAAAAACAGGAACCGCCAGCACATGCCCAGGTCTCACCTGTGGTGACACATGCCTGTAATCCTCGAACTCAGTAGGCTGAGACAGAAAGGTCATTGAGTTGGAGGCCAGCCTGGACTACATAGCAAAAAGCGAAATTAGCACTGTGTGCATCACTTAGCTTAGCTTCTCCAGTGGATGGGGGAGGGGGGTCTTAGCTGTATTAAAATATTAGAATCATGGACTAAGGATGTTTTGAAATATTTCAGTTAAATAGTATGGCAGAAATGCTTTTACTGGGGCTGGAGAGATGGCTCAGTGGTCTAAAGCGCCTACTTGAAACAAGCTTGGCAAAGCACAGGGACCTCGGTTCGATCCCCCAGCACCGCATGCCAGCCAGCCCCGCCCCCTGGTGGGCTGAGCTGGCCACACACAACACACACACAATAAATAAATTAATAAATAAAAATAAATATTTAAAAAAAAGAAATGCTTTTACTTTGCATGCATATTGTTTTTCTATCTTTATAAGCAATATTTTAAATCTGATGTTACTGAGTGGAATTAAAAAATCACCTCATTCAGTATTCCATGGCTGTCTTCAGCCAATTCCAGCAAAAACTAAAAATTGCTAACCAATGACATCTTCTCTTACAACCTAGGCCAAGTTAAGCCGATTATGTGAACAAGATAAAGTGGTACATGCGCTGGAAGAGAAACTTCAGCAGCTCCACAAGGAAAAAGTAAGACAATTGTGTTTGTTATCTGCAGTGGATGTTACTTCACATGATGATGATCAGGACACTGATGACTGCAGTAAAAAGAACTAATTCAGCAGTGCAGAACATTCATTGTAATTCTTCTCCTTACAACAGTACACGCTTGAGCAAGCCCTGCTGGCAGCCAGCCAGGAGATCGAGATGCGCGCCGACAGCCCCGCAGCCGCCGCCGCCGTGCAGACCGTGGTGCTGCAGCGGGACGACCTGCAGAACGGCTTGCTGGGCACCTGCCGCGAGCTCGCGCGCGCCACCGCCGTACGTGACGGGGCCTCTGACGGGCTGGGCGGGTCTTTACCTCGTGGGCTGTGTGAAGGAGTGTTTCTTATTATAGCAAGCAGCGTCCACCGCAGCAAAAATTTCTTAAAATGCATTAGATCTATTCATTAAAGAAGTAAATAGGGGCTGGAGAGATGGCTCAGTGGTCTAAAGC